TTTCCAAATGCCTTAAAATTCTATTCACGCCATGGCATCCTAGGAGTCTGAGTGCTATGCTTTGCTGTCTGCGTTGCAGATGTGATTTAACTCTGATTACCTTGATTTGTCAGTGAATTTAGGCCCAGTAGCATTTAAGATAGTAACTGTCTGCGGATATCTGACTGAGTATTAGAGAGTATTGTCCCTGATGGCAACAGCTCAGTAATTGGAAATCTTGTGAAAGCTTACATCTGATTGAAGTAGAAGGTCATTTCATGTGAGAGTAGCACTGTCACGTGTGTGCATTATCCATGCATTTTGTTACTGAAAGACTAATATATGCAAGCCTAGCCCAGGGTGGTATGCAATGGTAAGTCAAAGGATGAGGAAGAGCTAAATCATGAAAGAATCCTGATTTTCACTTGGACACATGACTGCCTAAGGTAGTCTACATTTCCCATGTAAAGGATGGAATGAAAGGGAAAATGGTGTATGCAACTTTAGGAAACTTTCCCTGGATGCAAGAATGCTCTTCTCTTCCTCCTTCTTCCCTTTCATCTTTGCTCTTGCAAGGTAGGTGTGATTACTGGAACTGAAATTAGGAATAGTGGCCACAGATGGCTGAGCAAGAAGACAGAAAGTGTCTATTTCAGTTTGGAATGCTTTTGATGGCCATACCTGCACTAGACCACCTATCTCTAGATTTTCATTTGAAAAAGAAACAAATTTGTCTTGTTTAGGTCACTGCTATTTTTTGTTTCTGTTGCTTGAAGCCAAATTGAGTCTTAACTAATACAGTATGTATGCATCATTTTAAAAATTATTTTCCCTTTAATCAATTTTTTCCCACTAACTATTGATTTTATTCAGATAAGGGGACTTTTGTTGAGTATGAAAAAAGATTACTTTGAATATGTAAACATTACATACCCTCTCCCCTTTTATAGCAATTATGGCTGAGATGTATATCATTATACAAAATCCTTGTCCATATCTTTGCTTATTTCTGTAGAAGAGATATCTATAAATAGAAACACTGGATTTAGTGGCATATATATTCTATAAAGCAGTTGTTTCGTATTGTCAGCTTTCTTTCTAGAGCAATTGTGTCAGTGTATATTACTAGCATAGAGGCATGCCTGTCTCAACACACTTTCGTTAGCATTTAGTAATAGAGCACTGTTGCTATTTCACTTAATTTTATGGAAAAAACATGAAATATGATAGATCTCCTAATTGGACATATTTTTATGTATTAGATTTCTATAGGCAGAACATATTTCCTTACATTTATTGGCCGTTTGTATTTATTCTGTGAACAGATGGTTTTAAGGTCTTCTATCAACTTCCATACTGTTGGGGATCTTAGTATACTTCTTATTGATTTGAAAGGGTCTTTGGTCTAAAAATTTTAATAGTCATTTAAATGTTTTAATTCTTTTTTTCTTATTTGATTAGATAATTACTTTTTATTTTCATTTTTGGAGCCCTTTTCCCTTTGGTGAAAATTATTTTTTTTCAATTTTAATGGTGCTGAAACCAACAGTGCCATCTTTTATAAAAAAACCACTCTAGTTTGCACAGTTACGTCATATGATAGTATCTGTGCTCAAACATCATCTGTATGATGTCTCCTCATTGAGAAGAAGGTGTTAAATATAGTAGCTAAGAGGACACAGAATTTATTTTATTTTTATGGAAGCTTCACCTTAGAAAAACATTGGCAAGAGTCATGGATTTCCTGGCAACGAAGTGGGATGCTTTATGTCTTAAATCAGATATAGAAGACTATGTCCATGAGATTAAAAATGATTTGGAAGCTTGAAGTTTGAGGTTAGAATATAAGCAGCTGCCTTAAATAATGTTGCCTTGACATTTGATTAATTATATAAACAATTAATCTGTTATCTTTCTTTCATTGCTTTTCTTTACTCATCGGTTATTTTTATTCACACCTCCCACCCCCGATTTTTGGTTCTTTCTCCTTCATTACTGTCTTTGTAATTTTGGTTATTTGTGGTCAACTTGTCTGTGGTGAACACTTTCAATTACTTATTTAACTGACTATGCTTAGTTTTCAGTTAACATTTCATTTATATAGATACATATATATGTATATGTATGTGTGTACATATATGTGTGTGTGTGTATAGATATAAAACTTTTACTTTGAAATTTCATTTTCCTGCATCCCTCCAGACCTCTGGTATTGTGTTAAAGCTGATTCTAAAAACTGATCTATAGCTACTATTTATTTAATATTCTCATTCTACCACTAATGATCTTTAATATCTGTATATTGTCATTATATATATTTTATCGATCTAAATAAATATTAAGTATGTATTTAATCTTTCTGATGCTACCACTAATCATCTTTAATACATATACTTGTCATTATATATATATATATATACTTACAATATTATTTTTATTACTTTTCTTAATAAACCATTAAGCATTTGGGAGATGAATTGAGTAACTTCCATTTTTCCTCCTTTACAAATAAGAGCCTCTTGTCACAATTGGCTAGAGTCTACTCTTTCCAAAACTATTTAAGTAACAAGTGACTCCAGATGTCAATTTGTATTTTCTTTAAGTACCCAGGGGAGTTCATGGAGGTCCTGTATTAGGCAAATTCAAATAGCCTAACTTCAGCTTATGACCATCTAGTTGGTCAGAATTTAGCAATATCATTAAATCTCCCTTCCCACCCCTGATTTTTTTTTAAGGAGTAACTATGCGCAAAGGACTGTAGATATAATCTTTCCTTATACAGATAATTAAAACTAGGAATTTGCATTCAAGAAAAACTGTAATCTGAAGAGGCAAATGGACAAACCATTAATGATTAAAAAGGAACAAGGAAAAGGGCAGAATAAAATAGGTGTTAGTGAAGAGATATCATCAAAGGGTTTCAGGGTATCATGAAAGGAGTGATTTTTGGGGAGGGAACTTGGTGAGAAGAGGCTTCTTGGAGAATGCTGGATTGGAGTTGAGCTTTAAAGAATGAATGAGATTTTAACTGTCACTTTGTGTTGGGTATGGTTTTAATTCTAATGAGGTTTCAGTTTCTTCAGATATACTAGGATTGATGTTACCTTTTAAAGAGCTCCTACAAGTTGTTAGATCATTCTAAATGTATACAATCAAATACAATTTGGGAAATTTAGCTACGGATGTACTGTGCTTGTTGAATGAATATGATAAATCTTAGCGATTTGAGTGTACTAGTATAGAAAATAACATCTTAGCTATTCGAAATCACGAAATTTTAGAGCAGGAAAAGATCTTACAAATTATCTACTCAACACTCTCCTTTACAAAGAAGGCACCAAAAGGTTCAGCAATTGACCAAGGTCACTCATTTAACTTGACCAGACTTTTCCTCTATCAGAAGGCATGGCTTTGGAATCGGCACCTTTCTGTACTCATTATGGTAATTTCCATTGATGTTGTGAAATAAGATAATTGAATCTCCACGATTGATCACCAGACAGGGATACTTTAAACTGTGCAATGAACTTGCAGGTTAAGTTTGAAGGAACATAAAATGGACCAAAGGCAGGAAACATTTTCAGACTCGGTACTTGCATAATGGAAATACGGAATAATTCGCACCTGAAAAAAATGAGACACTGGCAGGACTTTCAAGCTGATGTCGTTTACTCACCTAGGGTGGAACTGGAGAGGAAGACTAGAGGAGAAAGGAGGAGGAAGGGGGGGGTGATGAAGAGTGGGAGGGGGAGAGAGGGAGGGAGGGATGGAGGAGGAAGAGGAGGGGAGAGAGCGAAAGAATGAGAGAGAGAGAGAGAGAGAAAGAGAGAGAGAGACAGAGAGAGCGCGAGCCGAGGCGAGCCTTGAAGCCACTGGAGAGGTACCCTTTGTCTGACAAACCCTGAAAGGGAAGCTTCTATAGCAGCCCTCCCGTTCCCACCTCCAAGCGTTTGCCGAACTGCTAGGTGGAGCCCGCGCCGCGGAGCCCACGAGCACTCCAGATCCAGGTTTTGTCGGCCACCCCTTTCCCTGGCGCTAGCCCCCTCCTCGGCTCTCCGAGCTCTCGCCGCTGGCCCGCCCGACCGCGGCTCATTCTGGCCTCGGCTTGGGCCCCGGCTGCGACTACCCCGCGCGCAGGCTGCACGGCCCCCGCGCGCCCGCGCTCTGCCCCACTCTCGGCGCGTCGCCCCCCTCGCCTGCTGGCCAGGCACCGCTTGCTCCAGTTCCCAGGAGCGGGGATGCAGATGCTGCAGCTGGTCGGGGTGGGCGCCGCCGCCGCCGCCGCCGCCGCTGCTGGTTTTTCTCGGACTGCTCGTTGCCTCCGCTCCGGCAGCTGCTGCCGCCGCCGCCGCCGCCGCCTGTGACTCGCCCCCTCCCCTTTCTTTCTTCTCTTTTTGCCTCGGTCCTCTTCCTACTGGTGTGCGCGCGCGCGGGTTGCACGGTTTGCTTTGGCAGGAGCTCGCTCGTGTGTGCGCGTGTGTGAGTGTGCGTGTCTGGAGAGCGCCAGTGCCTCGCTCGCTCTTGGGGAGTCGAAGAAGAGAAAGAACCAAAGAGACAGCGGCGGCGGCGCGGAGCCCGGGGCTGCGCGATGAAGCTCCCACATGCCCGCAGCTGCCCGGCCCGGCCGGCGAGCTAATCAGCCACCCCACGGGCTCGGGGCTCGCCGGCCCCCGGGACGCAGCCCTCGGCGGCCGGGCGCCCGCTCTGCCCGCGCGCCCCCTCCGTGCACCGGGGAAGGAGTTTGTGTGGTTCTCGCTCAGGCTGTCCGCGGAGGTTGCGGGCGTGAGAGGGGACCCTCGGCTGGGAGAGAACCTCGGGAGGACGAGGAGGAGGACGGTTTGGCGGAGAAGCCACCCCTGGCCCTCGAGGCTCCCCCTACCTATTCCATCGCTCCCGCTCCGAGGCGGAAAGGGGAGGACGTGGAAGAAGAAAAAGAAAGAGAAGGGGGGTGGGGTGGGAGAACTGGATATAAAGATCGGCTGGGGGGATGGTGGAAGATTTTTGGTCTCTTCGGCAGCGTCTTTTCTTAAGCGGCGGCGGCGGCGGCAGCAGCAGCAAGAGGAGAAGCAACCCCAGCTATGACTGCCGCATGTTAATAGCTGCCGCTGGGTCCCTGGGCTGCTGCTGGAGACAGAGCCTGACTCCGAAGTTGTGCAACTGTGGACTGGCAGAGACATTTGAACCCTCTTTTCTCTTCGCTCCGCTTTTGCCCCCTTGGGGTGTGTGAAGCGAGGAACGTAAAGGAAGGCGAGCATTTGGCTCTCTTTTTCCTTCCCCTTTCTCCGTGGCTGTGTAGCAGAAGAAAGGGAAGAGAGACTTTTTGTTGTTGTTTCCTTGACTGGGGTCTCCACCCTCCTGCTGCTTTCTCTGCGCTTCGATTCTCGTTCTTTGCCGCGTGTGGTTGGGGGTGTCTGCACAGGGGCCGGCCGGTCTTTTGCCCCGAGCTCAATGGCTGGATTGTGGAAACTGCACCCGCCTTCAGGTTGTTGAGCAACTGATGGGACGATCTCAGGGACCGGCGGTTACGAAAGGTAATTTATTCTTCGCACTCTTCATAATAGGGGTCGCTCTGGCCGGGCGCAGGCTTCGGCGTCTACCGGGCGGGCAACAGAGGGGGTGCGGGGTGCATGCACACTCGCCCTTACACTCACACACTCGCCCTCACACACACACACACACACTCATCCGGTCGTGATGCGGGGCGGGAAAGGAACCTCCTGGCTGGTGGGCGCTCGGGTCTGGCGCGGGTTCGAGTTTTTTCCAGCCATTCGGCGATTTGGCGGCCGAGGGGAGTGAAGGGGATAAGAGACTTGGCGCATTCGCAGCTGCACACGCTGGGGAATAGGAACAGTTCCCACCCCGTGAATTTTCCCTCCCCTCTCACCCCAGTGCCATCCCCTGGTGGGAGCAGAAAGCGGACAGGAGGGCGCCTTTTCTCCGCCTGGCTGGAACTGGTGCGGCTGGAGGCGGGAGCAGGCTGGAGGACGGACAGGGTCTGGGTGAGAAGCTGGGCTCTGGGAAGATGGAAAATGCAGGGTGCCGAGCCCGACACTATTCTCCCTCGACACTTGCCTGGAACATCCGTGGTGGCCCCTTTTGCCCAGGTCGCGCCCCTGAGTCGTGGAGTCGCGCTGCCTCCCCGCGCCCTGCCTGTTGTGTCCCCTTCACGGCAGTTTGGTTTAGACCTGCGTGCCCAGGCTTTGTTAGGCGGTTTTGACTGGAGAAAGCTTCCACTTTCGTGGGTGGCCCGGGCTGCGCTATGCTGGTAGTGGGCACTGGGCGGGGGGCGGCGGTGTTGCACGAATCCCGGCGGCCGCGGCGCCGGGGCGGGGTGGGCAGAGCATTGGTGGTCGCGGTTGGCGGGTTACAGGTAGGAGAAAAGGCACCTCGGCGCTTCTCTCGGGAGAAGGGAAGGCTCCAGGCTGCAGCGGAGCGTCCGAGCTCAGAAGCTTAGGGTGCCAGGCCCCCAGCACTGTAGGGGTGTGTGTGTGTGTGTGTGTGTGTGTGTGTGTGTGTGTGGTGTAGGGGTGGGGGCGACCTCCTCTACCAGGGTTACTTGGCGGCGGAGTCGGCGTTTGAGTGTGTGCGCATTTTTGCGCCCCAGGGACGGCAGATAGATATTTGCGGGGATGCTGGAGCTGATGCTACTGGAGCTGAGCTTGCTTATTGAAATCGCCTGAGATCCGCTTAACTGGAAAATCTGGTTTGAGGAGGCCACGGGGGCCCCCGCAGGGTGGCGAGGAAGCCTTGCCATGTCCCCTTCCCCTGGAGAGGCGCAGCTCGGCGAGATGCGTGCGGCGCGTGAGAGTCGCTGGTGCAGCGCTCCATGCACCCCAGATTGGCCCTGATGAGAACCTCATAGGGTAGTCATCTCTCCAGCAGATTGAAGTAATCGAGTCCAGCCAGCATAACTCCTGGTCCCTGGAATTCTCTGGCCACTTTCCTCGCTCTGATAGAAACATGCGCTGCTTTTATTTATGGCCAGAGATATCATAGCAGTTGGGCGAACTCGAGCCTTGCGAGCCACCTCCAGGGTGTCTCCTCCCTGTGTCTGCGTGTGATCCCTGCCTGCGGTAGTTAGAGCACATTGTAAACAACGGTGTAAGCACTCCTGCCACAGTCTCCTTTAGAGTCGAACCTGCTGTCCTCTGTTGTGTTTACTTTCCTGGCTGTATTACTCATTAGGAAGTATAAGGCTTCTTGCACCTCTGATTTTACATCCTTCCAGCCAGCTGCTGGGGAAATGAGGAGACACATAGACTCTGGCAGGAAGGAAAAATTGCCTTCTGTGTTTTGCTCTGAAGTAAATAGGCGGTCTGCTAATTTTAGTGTCATATGGGCTATCATCACTAGTTAAAGAATGTCATCGTAGAATCTGCAAAGAAATACTTCTTTAGCATTTTTTTTTTCATTTGGAGACTCTCCTATATTTCCCTACGAGAATAAACAGAGTTTGGTAAGATTTCTTTTGTATATTTTTCCATCTGTAATGGTCCTAAATGATCTGGATTTCTGGCGCCCAATTTATCTGTATGTGGATTACAAATAGGATAGAATTCTCAGCTCTTTTATAATCACCAAAATAGGATACCAGATAATTTGTATAGGAGTTAAGAGGATATTTGTTGTTGAATTATCTCTCAGCTTTGTTTCACCCAATCTTTTTTTTTTTTTTTTGTAACCAAAGCAAGGGTAAAGAATGCACAAAGATAAACACAGTTTACAAACTGTTACTTTTGCAAGTGAAACTGCTTTTTACTTTTTACTTTCAATAATTAAAATGTATTAAATTCCTTAGGTCTAGATTAGCTCTGACTGCTTTGGTGTTTGTTGCAAATACTTGTGTTCTATTTTGTTTTAAAAAGTATAGGGCTCTTAATGTAACAGGGTACTTTGTTTTTAGGTACAATAATTTCTGGATGTCTTCATTATTTTTTGAAGACCTTGACCTCTTGAAAAAGCATAGATTGCAAAAGACACTGAATCACTGATGCTTGACTTTAAGTTATATTTTCATGAGAGATATTGCTAATGGCCATCACCTAACAGAAAACTTAGAAAATTTTGATTTAATTCAGTGGCCATCACCTAACAGAAAACTTAGAAAATTTTGATTTAATTCATGAGAATCTAGCTTCATGTATTTGTTTCATTTCTAGATGATACGTATTAAAGTCTTTATACTTGCAAATATTTCTGAGGATTAAAGAATACTTGTCCTCCCATTTTAGAAGATCTAATCACAATGATTCCCAGTCCTTACATTACAAGATTTGATCAGATCTGTTCTTTGTTTCCTAGCAGCATGTGTTCCCTAGCAGTCATACATTCCACAGGTCCTGATGTCATTAGAACTGTGTCTGTCAGTGTATTGTGCTGTCTTTAGCTGAAGGTGAATGTGTCAGAGTATTTGAATGCCATTCCATAGCTCTTCCTTATCACTAAGTATTCAGTAACCTGATCCATTTGTGTATATGGTTGACTAGACTATTTCTACAAAATCGGGGTAGGAGGAATGATTAACACAAAGTTTTCTATGAACTATTAATGTTTTTTTAGATAGAGATGTTAGGCTGCATCAGGCATCCCCGGCCTGAAGAGTGATAAGCCAGCATGTGATTTGCCTGATGGGTAAATGCTTTTGATGTGTCATTTTAGGTTTCTTGGTGTGATTATCCTTCAGACTGAGAGTGCTCCTCAAAAATATGAATGGAAAGTCTTTCAGAAATGATTTTCTTAATCATGATCTTCTTACATTTTGCAGATTTAAACACTCTTTTCCACAGGGAATAATAGCAAGTATGGCACTTACTGGCTGCAGCTACACAGGCTGGCATTGTTTCTACTAATTAGGAAAGGCAGATTTTTTTATGGATTTGATTTACCATTGATTCCTTTGTGTGCTATAGTCAAGGAAATCATAAATAGTAGATTAAAAAGACTATAAAATCATGAGGATTGAAGTTAGTCAAATAATATGATGCAAAACTGAATTGTTTTTCAGATTTGATTTGGACCACTTTAAGTGTTGGTTGAAACTCTCTTTAAAAAGGACTGCCAAGTAGAAGTGACAGTTACTGTTAGAAGTGGGGAGTTTTGGCCCAGAAATCAGCAAGGAAAACTGATTGCGATTTTCATATTTAGGATCAAACAGTGATTTTAAGAAATGCTGTGCAGCCTTAATTTAGCATGGTGTGAATGGCTAGAGCAGTTGGAATTTTAAAAGGATGATCTGTCCTTAAGTTTTGCAAATGGCTATTTTGCCTTCTCTTTCCTAGATTTGCATTATATTCAAAATATGCATTTGCTCACTTTGGGAGGAACCGTAAAGAATATGGCTGTATTGTAATTTATTATTTGTTTGTCCACAAGGATATATTTGCCCTTAGATTATTATTATGTCTTCTTATTTCATGCAAATGCATTTCTTTATGGAATAACCATTTTTATAATTACATAAAAAGTAAAACTTGCAAGTATTAGTAAGGTCCTCCTGACATTTTTCCTTGGTTATCTTTCTGTGTTTTGTCGAGTAGGGGTAGGAAGAGGGTTAGAGAGTTGTTGATCAATGAAGAGAAAAATCCAGATTTTTCATTCGTTGTAATACATTGCAAGAATGTAGTGTGAGCATGCCTGTAAATAACACTTATGCATCTAAGGTATGCAGGTTTTCCCCCAAATCTTTAATGTCATTACTCTGATCTGAGTGTCAGCATGGCCCAATAAAATTAACTCTACTGCTGCATAAGAAACCAGGTGTAACTTTTTTCTTAGAATTGTGAAATATGCTTATCGATTCATAAGCACAAAATATAAAAAGAGAAAAGTAGCTGTCCCACTTGAAATTAATTGAACTTCTTTATTTATTTTTGGGGGTGAGTAAAAGGGGAGAGTTTCTGTATTTGCTCATAATAGGTTCTATAGACCTTGATAAATCATGTCTTCCTTATGTCTTATTGACGCCTAAAACAGGAACTTAGTTTCAATTTTAACAAGTATCTTCATAAAAGTGATAACAAATAGGTATTAAAAGAAGTGAAAATTTGGTCCATATTATTCAAGAATTTAAATAGAGTATTGTGACGATAATCCTACTTATTTTGAAAACTATCTTTGGGATGGAAGAATAAATCACCCAACTGAATGTTTCTTTCTGCTAAAACTTCCATGTCAGTTTCTTTGTAAAGCAAACAATGCTCTTTTATCAGTGTTTTCAAAGTGTCCTCTGGGGAACCCTGAGGATCTCTGACACCCCTTCAGAGGAAATGTGAAAAGAAAACATTTTTATGATAATGCTAAGACATTATTTGCCTTTCACTTGTATTCTTTAACAAGTGTTCAGTGGCATTTTCCAGAAGGTATATGATATGTGATGACATCATTGCTCTGATGGCATATGTCATATGTTCTTATGTATTTGCAAGTTTTAGAATTTTCCCAGTTTATCAATACTTGAATGGTGACAGTTACAGGTGTAATAATCAAAAGTCACTTTAGAGGCTGAGTGCAGTGGCTCACACCTCTAATCCTG